ACAGCCAGTCCCAGGACAGCCGGCAAAGCCCAGGGAAGAGTCAAGGCTCTGAAAGCCAGCCGAGGATGGCAGAGAAATGCAGGGCAAGGCAGGGGGGACACGGGGGACATGACACGACACAGAATCGGGGCTGAGGTTCTGCAGAGCAGCGGCCAAGCTGTGTGCCACAGCCCGGCGGGCAAGGGGAGGGCAGGCCTGTGCTCGGCGCAGACACCCGGGACCGAGCGCAGCCCCGGCACTCACCAGAGAGCCAGAGGCACAGACAGACCCTCCCTGCAGCTTGATACACCCCTTGCACAACCGCTCTGCGGCCAGCGTGGGGCAGAAACAAGCGGCAGGACAACAGGCCGCCCCCCTCCTTCCCTCGAGCCCCCAGTTAGGTGTGAGTCCCGGGAAGGAGGGCCCCACCACGACTGCTCTCACGCCAGCCAAGTCACATGAAAAGAAGGAGCACGAGAAGGAAGCTACTTTAAAAATCGTTGCCTGCAGAACACCTTCCCGGTTGTTTTGGCCCTTTTGGCACCAAAATGTCTCCTGACAACCCCTGCCACGTTAACCAATAAAACAATGCCACAGATTAGAGGAAGGAGGGAGGAGGGGAGAGAGGACGCTACTGCCATAAATTGCTTTCCCCTTCCCATCAGGATTCCTCAGCGGTAGGGAGCAGGCCGACCCTAACGTCGCTTCTGCGCTGCTTGACCACAAGTCGTCTCGTCAGAGAGTCGGGGCCAGACGGAGGGACAGCCCCGGCCACCCAGCCGGTATTTAGCATCCAGGACAACCTGCAGAGCAAGAGGTCCTGCCTCGGCCTGCAGGCAGACTGGCCTCGGCGGTGGCGAGTGCCCCTCGGTGACCGAGGCGGGTCACTCACGCTCGTTATCCTTTGACACCACGAAGGCCAGCGCCAGCCCGCACTGCCTGCGCATCGAGGTGAATAATGACTAAAGCAAAATGGCCATGAGGAATCGTTTGCCTGCCATCCAGCCCATCTCCTCCTCTCCTCAATCACTTCCAGCTTTGATTAGACAAAACAAGAAAGTTCTCCCTTTCAAGCAGAGGCTAGTGCTCTGCTTGCCCAGCGTCCTGGGATGGGACCGGGAGCTCCCCAGACGTTAGCTGCTTCTCCTCTGGCATCTCGGCGTTGCTCAGGGATGGCACAGGGACCTGGAGACAGAAGACAGCAGTGACTTGCATGAATACCCCCCAATACAGAGCATCTGTTGGAGCACACAGACACATGGCCCTGCCTCCAGCTTCTCCAGGCAGAGGTCTCAGCTGTGCTTGGGGAAAACAAGAAACCAGGGGCCACCAAACAGGCAAAGCAGCAGCTTCATGAAGATCTGGAGGACTGGACTGCTCCAGCAGAAGAGGTCTTGACTGTTTCTGCCAGAGAAACAGGCAGCTCATACCCAAGCAGGAGTAGGCCCAGCCATTTCCCACCAAGTTCACAGAATAATCGAAGTGGAAAGGGAAACCTCCTGTCCAACCATATCCTCAAAAAGCAGGGCTAATTTCAAAGACAGAGCAGGCTGCTGGGGCCATGTCCAGTGGGGCAACGGCCTCCAAGGATGGAGATCCCGCATGTGTGAGGGCCCCACCAGGGACTCAGTGCCAAAACAAGACACCTGCAATCTCTCACCCCTCCATGGCCATAGGTGCCAGCTCCTAGGTGCTCTCACGGCAGGACTGACATCTCCAAAAGAGCAGCCAGCTGTGATTTCCTTTGTGGTTTACTTAGGAGTCAGAGGAGCCCAGCACCCTCCCAGCCAGCTCCAGGGAGACGCTGGTTTCCAGGGCCAGAGCACAACAGGCTTTTCATTGGCAGCCTCTCAGCGAGGCCGCAAGCATTGCTTTGTTCCTGCTAGGTCACACTATCAGCTTTCTCTCTGCTGGCCCAAAGCACCAGCAACTCCAAGCGGGCGCAACCATTCCCCCTTCCCAGAGGGAACCACTCACAGCAGTCAGGTGAGGAAGGCTGCCATCCTTCTGCTGAGCGCTGCTCTCCTCTGCCTGCCCGCCAGGGCCCTGAGCAGCGGTGGGCTCTTGAGCACTGGGTCCCCGTGGGCACGACTCCTCCTGAGCTGTGCTCTCCTCTTGCTGCAAGATGCCCCGTCTGTCCAAGACACTGCAAGAACAGAATCACAGCGTCAGAGACCCACGCCTCCCCCAAAGCTGACTTCTTTTCCTGGCAGGAAAAGTTCCGGAGGAAGACAAATGTCAGGAGAAGGGGTTCCTCTCCAAAACAGGCTGTGCAGAGCCCAAACCTAGTTTACACAAGACCTGCTTCCCCAGAGCATCCAGCTGTGTCCCAATGGCCTCCAGAAGCCCTCAACACACACACAGCACCAGCAGAAGAGCAGCCACATCTTGTACCCAAGTAAGGAGAGCTCCTCAGGGTCCCACCTGGGCTCTGGGGGCAAAAACGGCCGGGCTGCCCCTCGAGAGCTTACCTGGGGGGCAGAGGCCCACAGAGCACCTCACAGCAGTTCTTCACTACATTGCCATGGCTGTAGGGATTCTGCACACGGTTCTTCCCAGTCCAGGACCCCTTAATCTGCAAGTCAGAGCACAAGCTCAGGTCTTCTCCACCGACACCTGTCCCCAGCCCACGGAGCCCTGCCTCAGCCTGCAGGACCTGTCGGCGAGGTGGACGCAGCCGTGACACACCGAGGAACCGATGAGAAATGGAAATATGGCTCAGAGGAACAGAAAGACTCTACTTACGTCTTCGTTGGTGGTCTGATTCAGTGCCACCAGGAAGGTGTGGAACCCAGTCAACCCCACCACCGACCACAGGGTGAAGAAACAGATGAGCACCTCCAGTACAGTGAGAAAAGTTAAGGACCAGGAACAGCCTGGGAACAGTCCCCCCCACACACACTGTGTCAGTATGCCCCGGCACACTACCCTAACTTCTCCTGTTCTTCTAGACAGGGTTTTCTGTTTTACCCTCCTCCCAAAAGCCACAAAATTGCTCCTTGCCTTGTAATCATGGGGGAAAATGCCACAAAAGACTCCTTAGAGAAGCCTGGGCACCAAGACCCTGGTCCCTCCATAATGCAGCTCACACTAACCCCCAACTTCGGAGCAGCCAAGCCCTCTGCACCGTGGAAGGATATGTCCCTGGGGTTTCCTTCAATGTGTTCAGAAACCCAATCTTCAGAGATTCTGAAACATACAAAGAGGGAGATATTTTTTCCTCTGGAACATCACACCGAGTCCAGTTGCCTTTCCCACTCCATCACTTGTGGGTTTGCGGCACCACCTGTATCCTCCCCTCACCCTTAGCCAGCCCAGCTATCCACCTCTCCGCAGCCAGACTCACTCAGTGCTACGTAGACTATGTTGAAGGTGAAGATGTAGATGGTGAGGAGTGAGAGCGAGAGGATGAAGAGGTAGAAATAGCGGTAGTTCCTCTTCCCCACGCAGTTGCCCACCCAGGGACAGTGATGGTCGAAGCGCTCTGTGAAAGCGAAGATGGAGATCAGTGCTGCTCTAGCACGGTCCTGCCTGCCTCCAGGCACTCACTCCTGTGCCCCAACTCAAAAGTTTCCAAGGCTGATGAGGACTCCCCAGGCCATCAAGTCCAACACAGGGCCCCGTATCACGGCCCCCTTCCAGAAGCGGAGGCCGGATAAGAGAGTGCAAAACTGTTTTACTAATGAGTCGTTCTGCACATTAAGGTAGACTTTAAGAGCTTGGCCCCATGCACATCTTCTCTCCCAGAGACCTGAGGTGTAACAGCACTCACTAAAGCAGCACACAGGTTAGATGAAGGCCTGAAGGTTCAGAAGTTCTTATCTAACCCATATGCCTCTTTACTCTGACTAGAATAATTAGAAGAGAGTTCGAGGAACTGCATAAACACTCAAAGGGCTGGGAACCTGCAGAGGAAGAGAGGGATCCAAAAGAGTGGGACTTCTTCCTTGAGAAGGGATGCTGAACACACCCAATTATGACACGCAAAAGGGCTAAGACAGCGTCTGCTATGCAGCAAGGTGAATGAAAAACGGGCACTCAACGTAACAGCAGAATCTCCATGCTCATGCAAGGAGCTGCTTTCACGCAAGACACAGCTCTCCACTGGAACCCTCTAGCCCAGCAAGGCCAGCAATTCAGTGAAACTCAAAAACAGACTGCACATTTACATGGACAAGTTAGACTTATGTTAGACTAGTTACTGCCAAAGAAGTTCTGGCAAAGACGAACCATCTGGCTTCAGGTTCTGAGCAAATCTCAAGTTCCCTGAGCTTAAGATGAGGCAGACTGTCCCGTCTGTTCACACACCACCATTCTGGACTCACCCTGCAGGTGCAGTGTGAGACCCGATACAGAGCGAGACCAGTGCAGATCTTCACCCGTCCTCTTCCAAAGGCGCTCACCTAACACCCAGGTGCAGGAGCAGGTGCGACCTCTTCTACTCACCCACACAGTTGTCGCAGATGCTGCAGTGAGAGGCACGGGGCGGACGGAAGATCTTACACGTGTAGCAATACTTCAGCTTCACTATCTGGTTGTTGATCTGGAAGTTTTTAATCCGTGGGGGTGGGCGTTGACCCTGTGGCACAGTCCCGTTGGTGGCCTCTGAGAGAAAAAACCAAGCAGAGCTCAGACCTGCTGCTACAACAGGACAGACCCTGGAATCACAACTTGCCTCCCTGCTTTTCCTACCAGTGGGATCAGAGCCTGCTGGGTCTAGAGCCAGCGACTGCAGCTCTGCTCGCATGGTCCAGAGCCAACCTGGCAGCTCGGAGGCAGGAAAAGGGATGCCAGAGCTTTCATGGGCATATTGAGAGGGGCTGGGGTGGGGGGGTGTCACTCTAAGATCCGCATCCACCAAACCTCCTCCCTGCCTGAAGGGTCAAGGAGCCCACACCAAGCTTTCTGCATGACTTCCCAAAAGCAAACTGCGTTTGTATGTACACAGCTACAGGACAGAAAACAGCATGTGAAAAGGTTCCCAGAGAGGGAAGCAGGTACGTCACGCCATCTTTGTGAGACTCAGGCAAGCAGAATTAGCCAGCAGGTGGTAAAATGCCCCATTTGGGGCAATCCTCACTTTTGGAGGGCCAGCCAGGAAGAAGGGCTCCGCAGAGAACGTAGCCTACAGACACGCCAGAAATACACAGGTTTTTCCAGCGTCATCAGCTCAGCTGGCTCCGCACTCACCAATCTCCATCTCGATGAAGGCTGCCTCGTCAGGCAGGGCTCTCGGGATCACCCCCGGATCACTGAAGCTCGTCCGCAGGAGCGTAGCCATGGCGAATAGGAAGAGAACTGCTGCAAACACGGGGATGGCTGGGGACAGCTGGACAGCCAGGTACCGACACCTGCAGAGAAACGTCGGGAGGAAGTGATGAATCAGACCACCGCAAGGTCTGCCTGAGCCAGGGCCCAGAAGCCTGGCAAGGCATGAGAGTCCAGACTTTTCTGAACACTGTTCAGCACTTCCTTCTGATCCCACCACCACAGGGAAACACCCCTGGGGCAGCTCTAACAACCAGCCACGATCAAAGTACCACCATGTTTCTAACCAGCCAGGCACAGCATACTTTCCAGCATTCTGTTTTATTTCCAGATCTCATTTTGCTCAGAGTCACGGGCAACCCAACCAGCCAGCTAGAGGGTTCTTGCCTAGAGGACACCCACTGCCACCAGCTGCCCAGGGATGGACCGTACCCGAGGAGAAGCACCCAAGGGCCAGTCTGAGCACCCACCACTGCAGGGAGCCGAAGGCACGGGAGCGCATCAGAGTGGTGGGAGACTCTGGCTGTCCCCTAAAGCGGCAGCTGCTTCCAGTACCACAGAAATTACTTTGCAGGGATGAACTGTGTCCTGTGCTTCTCAGGAACAGATTCACACAGAAGTGCAACATTCAAGTGCAACAAGACTTTTCTGAGGTAAGAGACTCGAAAACTCCAAATCAAGTAACAAGGCTCCTGCCCCAAGACAACCCCAGCTTGAGAGAGGAAACACAGCTTAAGGTTTGTTTGCTTTATAAATACAGAAAGGTCCAGCAGGGAACTTAGGCTGCTAATCCCGCTGATTGAGGCAGTGCAAAAGGAGCAAGGAGATTAATCTCACTGTGGCCTGTGTCACTTCTGGACAACCGCAAACGTGTTTGCATGGGCGTTGCAGCATAGGCCATGAAAAAGTCATGGTTTACAGGCCTACTGGGCTGAAAAAAAACCCTTATTTTTACCCCAGTTCCTTCAGAAAACCGTATTTATGTCAGGGTGAAGTTCCTATGGAGGTTTGCTATGGTTTAGGCCATGCAAAAGGCCTGCACAGAAGTCATGGTTTACAGGCCTACTGGGCTGAAAAAACCCCTTATTTTTACCCCAGTTCCTTCAGAAAACCGTATTTATGTCAGGGTGAAGTTCCTATGGAGGTTTGCTATGGTTTAAGGGAAACCCCACCCAGATCCCAACACCTGTGCAAAACATCACCTCTCCTTGCACGCCTTGCTTCCCCGGTTCCGCGCAAGGCCGGGTACCCAGGCCTTGGTAAGCCGTGACTCCTCAGCAGCAGATCCAACCCCTGCTCTCCACAGCTGCTCTCCAAGAAAGCATAAGGCTACTGTGGTGAAAGGCACGGGATTATCCTCCCCAGCGGATCTGTCATCCCAAGCAAGGCAATTTCTACGACATCCATAGCATTCACTATTTAATTCTGGATAGCCTTCCCACCCGTAGCTTCTCCGAGCACAATAAAGTTTCTAGCTCCAGCTGGTTCCTTTGCAGCACAGAATTGTGCAAGCCCCCCATTTGCTGCAGGAAGGCTTACCAGGCTTTAATTTCCCATTGCTTGAGTCCAGCAACGGCAAATCGCTGTCCCCTGCATGCAGCGAGGTACAGAAGGGGCTGTACGCTGGAGCTACGGTATGCTTTGGCCACAGCCGCAACACAAAGCGTCCACAGTGATGCACAGGGCCTGTTCCCTAAACCAACGTTGTTAATTTTAGACACTACGAACTTCACAGTTACTCGAAAAACATAACCCTGAGAGTCATCCACGTGCAGAGTCCTGCCTGCACTTGAAGTGAAGGCTGAGTGGCTAGAGAGCTGAGCTTACCCTCTTTAGGCAGCCTAAGATAACTTTGCTTTCCCTTTGCAAGGGCAAAGTCTAGAAAGAGAGCTGCAAGTCCGTCAGCAATTAAACAGAAACCTTGGATCCCATTTTAGGAAGGAATATGAGTTTATTCTTCTAAAAGCTGGACACAGCTTGCCTCACAGGGCTGCTGGTTGACCCTTATCCAGCTGACATGACAGCTTTTACAACTCTTGTAACATGAAAATATTACAGGCTTAAAATACGGATTCATGACCTGTGTTCAAAGCTGAGCCGAAACTGTGCCAGAGCTTCCAGCCTCAGCTATTCGCTAACACCTTATAAGTTTCTTCAGCATACTGTCAGCAACGAGATTTATTACCTGCAAGCACATGATCCGTGCCGGGCGTACTCTCCCAGGCGCAGACCTGAAAGCTTTACACAGCGGCACTCAAGAATAAACGGGATCAGTCCCTGCAGCAACCCATGCAGTCCCCGCTCAATCTGTGTCCGAGCACGAGCCGGGGATGTGACTCACTCCCTGCTGACCGTTTCCTATGCATCTTTGTAAGGAAACCTCCCCTATGGGGATGCAGCAAGTCCTGCTGTCCCTGAGGCACAGCAAGAGCGGCCTCAAGATTGATGTTACCACATCGCAGAGCCTGGTGTGGGAACGGGAAGAAGCCTGCAATTTTAGGAGATGAAAGAGATGAGCGCACGACTGTTCTCCCCACTGTGGCAAGGGAAGCAGCGCCATCCAGCCAGTATCCAGCTCTTCCATCCAGCTCCGGCACGGCACAGGCACAGGGCAGGTTGGAAACTCATACAAAGAAGTATTAACGATAGCTCCTTTGGCCACCATTCACCGAAGCGCGTGAGATGCCTGCTCAGCGAAGCCATTGTCCTGTTGCCATCGTCCCTCCAGCACGAAGCAAACATCCAGGCACTGCGCTGGACGCTCAGACGTGCCCTGGCACAGCAGGAGCCGAGCAGGGGCTCAGCAGGGCCCTCCCGCTTCCCGAGGCAGTGGGGCTGGCAGCACTGCTGCGTCCCCTCGGCACGAACACGGTCTGGAGGCAAGGTCAGAGATGTGTGAGCAAAACAAACCCCCACAGCACCAAAACTGCATCCCGAGACCCAACATGGAGTCCATGGCATGCCTCCCATCCCTGACGGAGCCTTGCTTTTTGGAAGACGTCTTTCAGGGAACATGCCCAGTGCGTCTGCTGCGGCAGAGAAAGCCAAGTGCCATCCAGAGCACCTGAGCAACAGGTAAGGCCTCCACGTGAGGTTCTGACTTGGTACTCACTAGCACTGGGGAATCTTCAGACTACGCCTCGTCTGCAGCACGATTACGCTCAGCAATCCATTTACACTGCTAAGTAACAGACATTTTAAAGATCTTTTGTTTGGGAAAGCTGAGAGTCAACAGAGACATACTGTTGGCATGTACGGATATTGCTCCTCCTCCACCCCCAGTGCAATATCTGTGTTCTTGAGCGTTTTGTCATCTAATAGTAGACAATAACAGCACTATCAAAACTCATCATCATGAGGGGGGGATCTGGGGGTGAGAAAGGCTTAAACAAAGAGATCATCAGAATGGGGAGCGACAAGAAGCAGCAGATGGGAGGTGCCACGAGTTTACAGTGCAAGGACTGCTTGACTGATTATTTTGTGACCTCTTTGGAAGCTGTTGTAACCAGCACGTTAAGCAAAGCTATGGAGGAAGGGGAAAACAAACACGCCAGCCCCGATGGAAGTGGACTTCAGCCATGGCTGTCAGGCAGCACATCTCACAGCCAGGTCCCTCCAGGGCTGTTGTATAGTTCATTTACATCTCACTTGCAAATCACCCATTTAACTTTCCTAAAGTAACGCATACCCACACCATGTACTTGTCCCGAACACTAGTGAGGCAAAGTAGTATCTTTACCAAACGTTTAACCCTCACCAGAGCACTTGGTCATCTGCATCTCCCAGACCCGGGACAATTTCCAGAAGCTGATGTACTTGCGGTAAGCGTGGAAACGGTTGCTCTGAAAACCTGGGTAACCGCTGCACTGCAACGCAGTTCAGGGCCCTTTCCCAGCAGCACTCCAGCAGAACTGGAGCTGCCTACAGAAACTCTCCCCGTCTGTCAACAGCGACACCGAAAATGCTTGTTAGAGACCCACTTCAAGTGCAGTTCCACTGCGAGCACATGCCAACGTGCTTCCAACCCAAGCGATGCAGCAACTGACTTCAGGCAGCAGACGTGTTACGCCGACGTTATTGCTCTTTTCCCAGCTGGACTCAAACCTCCGCACAGGCAAGGGAGCACCCGAGAGCCATGTGGGGAACGGTGGTGCTACAGAGGATGTGCACACTGCAGGGAGAGCAAAGTCGTCTCCTGAAAAGGAGCCTGCATACAAGAAAGAAGGCATGCAATTCAAAAACCCAGGAACAGCCACTTCATGCAGAAACATGCCTTCAAGAGCAAACCGAGCTGAACTCTGGATACCAACAAGTCTACCTTTATCCAGAGAAACTACAACTACTAAAAAAGCACCGATCAACTTGTGTGTAAGTTTCAACAGTGCTGGACATAGACCTAACCAGAGGTAAAAGCCATCTCAGAAGCACGTCTTTATCAGTGCAAAGTCTTGGATCTCTGGGGTTTGGAAAATAAAAAAATAAAAAAATTAAGTCACACGAAGGGTTGGCGTAGGTTCTTTCAACTCATCAGAAAACAAAGAAATTTTAATCTCTACATAGCTGAGAAAGTAGAAAAAAAAAATAAAGTGATAAACATGCTTAGTTATTGGAAAATCAAACAGCAGCCCCTCTCCGCACTCAGGAGCCTGGCATCGCAGGTGCTATCTTGCCTGTAACATTTACAAACGTCAAACGTTCGTGCTGAAAAGCCGACGACAAAAGAAATCCAGTTCCCTTGCAGCTGCTTTGGAGAGCCGAACGGAGAACTCTCGCTTCAGGAGGGCCATTACAGACACACTGGCAAACTGCAGCGAGGAAACTCCCAGCAGCCAGAGAAGGACGCTACATCCCATCCTCTTAACTCCCAAATGGATTTCACTAAGTGCTTTACCTGGGCTTCTCCTTGTGCTCGAATACCACAAGCATAGTTAGACAACTAAGCACCCTCTCACGAAGGCTGCCATGCCCACTAAGTGTCAGAAATAACCCAGGAGGACATTAAGCAGCATTTTATGAGACATGTTATGGTCATAGAGTAGACACAGTTAAATATAGGTCTCGGACCCTGCAGGGACCAGCCTCG